CGGGTGACAGCTTATATTTTCTCAACAATGCACCCTTCACAGCCGTGTAATTTTCGCCTTCTTCTGGCAGTAACCTTGCCAGTACATCAGCTGCTTCGGCCGGCAACGCGCTTAGAAGCCTCTGAGGCCAAGACGACTCTTCGAAACCCATCCTGACACATGTGCGCTCGAAGTTGGTTAAGAAGAATCCCAATTCGCTTCCAACAGAAAAGGGCTGAAGAAAACTTTTCATGTCATAGTTAACTGCTTTCGCGACTCCAACAACGGTCATTTCCGAATTTGGCTTTAGCTGCTCGAGTTTCAGTTGTTTCAGTTGTTTGTCTCTTTCTTTCTCTAGGCGTCGTTCCTTTTCCTCATCGACAGCTTCGGCAACTTCGTCATCCCCGGCTCCGCAGCCCAAAATTGTTTTGACTATGTCTGGCCTTCGCATTGCCTTGCTTACATCCAAACCGAGCTCTTCAGCTACGGCTAAAGAGCTCGTAGGTACCCCCCCCCCCCCCCCCGCCTCTCACACCATTTTTACTTCTTTTTAATTTTGAACGAGGTAAGGACGTTCTTTTTTTTATTTTCACTGTAAACATTCACTACGTAAAATTGGCGTCCAGTTTATGGTTATTTGTCCGCCGAATCGAACGGTCCGAAAAGCCTGGTTTCGGTTATGATTCAGGTGGCCTGCGCCACCTCGAAAGTTGTAAATTGAGACCGCGCAGAAATCTCCGGTACATCCTAGATTGTGCTAGTTTCGAAACACATATTATTGAGATACTTGAGCCTGATTCACTGCAGCCAAAGGTTGTAAGACGCACGGACCGCTCGGTTTCCGTGCACTGCAAAAAAAAAAAAAGTAAAAAAAGATATGTGCGAAAAAAAAACGAAAAACAACTGCATCAGTCAAAAATGTGAACTGTATATTGTTTCTGCTGATAAACCAAGGAAGAAGAGGTGAGTAGGAATCAAAACGTTGGTTGCCCATTTAGGGTTGGCGGAATGTCCTCTATTTGTAAAGAAATTATAATATGGACTGTTCACGCCCAAATGTTTACACATATAAAAGAAAATACAAAAAAAAAACATTAATCGCGGACGTGGTTCGGGTGTTGGGTGGACATTATGTGGGAACGCGTTCTAATTATACAAACAGGAGTGCCAACCGAACCAAGACCATTTACACAAAGTGTTGGTGAGCACCGTGCGAACGTATAAAGAACTCGTATACGTAAGCCAATAAATGGATTGCAATTCATCTTCGAGTAAAGCTCTCGGTTTGTGGTGTATATGTACCTAATAAAATATTCAAGCAAAACACAGCAACATTGGCAGCGACTTTGACTTTTAAGGTTATATAATGCTTGAAATGCATGCTATGGAATTGGCGAGGGAATGCGTGTAAGACGTGACGTATATTTTCCCGCTAAATATAGCGGCGATACTGAATGATTGTATGGTCAGGTGACGTTTGTGTCTCCCGCTAAACTTAGCGGGGAAACTGGACTGGTGTCTAGGTCACAGGACGTGAATGTTCCTGCTAAATTTAGAGTGGAAACTTAGTTGACGTACAAATTACGTGGCGTTCATTTCCCCAAGGCGTATGGGTCACGCAACGTCACTTTCGCCGCTAAATTTAGCGGAAAATGCACGAACGGACGGACGGACGGACGGACACAATTTTGGGATGGGGAATAGTGTTAAAAAGCATTTCATGCTTTAAGAAGGAAAGATTCTGTTATTTTTATGCACTTGGAGGAAAACGGTCGCTAGATGCATCACCTAAATACGCCTTTACGAAATCTTTAATTTAATTCCTTTCATTGGTTTGTTATAGGAATTGTATTTCGCCCATTTCCGTTCAGATGCACCCTGTAGAAGATAATGTCTGCGTTTTGCTCCTCTGAAGTCAAAGCAAACACGCAGGGTTTGTCCCCGGGTGTTAGCTCTGGGACAAGGTTATTTGAACCGTTAAGGATGTGCACTTTTCTAGTGTGCAGTGTCGTCTACTCATTTGTTGAGCCGGCGTTGGAATGCGGTTTCAGGTGTACTGCTTCAATAAGATGCCCGTTACTTCCCCGAAAATGTTTGATATTAGAATACGAAATTTCTTGAGCCCGTAAAGAAATATCGGCATGTTATTTCATCTAAAGTGTTACAATGATGTTATGAGAACGAAACTATTTCCATTTTTTTTTCTCGAAAATTTGCGTTAGTTTGTTCTTAATGTGGCAAAGGCAAGGGGTATGATAATCGCTGCCCGGCTTCCAGGATGAACGTGTAACTTATCCCAATTGTTCGAAGGGTTTTAAAATACGGTTACACTCCGGTATTCATTATTTAAACTTTTGAAGTTTTTTTTTTTTTAACTTATGGCAGTGACAAGCTTGTGCTGTACCGCGGTTTCCGCAACCCCCTGTTTATTTCTTATTCTTTTTTTTTTGTTTCTGCCTTCTCAAATCCATGCTGAGCAAAGACTCTGCGCTCTCCTTCGCCTCTCGTGTGTCCTCGATGCGCGTTGAGAAATCTAGGGTACTCCGCTTCCGGACAGCCCTACCTCGTTTTCCTAATGGAACCCCGTTGATTGGGTTTCAAGTAGCAGACTGTTTTTGAACTGTTCGCCCAACGCTCACTTCTAATAAATCCGCTGTTCACAGTAGTTTTAGTAAATTGCGACTGTTCCCAACATGGTAGTGAGGTAAGGGTTTCAAAATGCATTTGCTGTCGATTGAAATCCAAGAAGTCATTAGTAAACATTCTTTAAATTGGGAAAGACGTGAGCAGCACTTGGAAGACGGCTTAGCAATACCTCTGAAATCACTGAACGAGCTAGCAATCTTCTGAAGATGCATTAGCGGAGTTTTCAAATCGCCAAAATTGGTAACTACCTGTTTTTGTTGCACGTTGTTCGTACTGCAAAGTGCAATCGTCGACCGTCCACGCACACTTCTTAACTTTCTAGCATCGATATCATCGAGTCAACATGAGTGGCGTTGGCTAAGCATCGCACAGGTTAGCAGGGCGCAGTGTTGGAACTACGGTGCCTAGAACGCGTCTCCGACTGGTGTGTTTACCGGGTCCAAAAAAGTGGTCCCTCGATTTCCGACTGATGACGTCATGTCTTTTTGGCTGGCAGAAAATTTGATACTGAAAAACTTTTTACCAAGCCTTCGGTCTGTTAAGCATCCCGATAGCTGTGGTATAAGTGGCAGACTCCTGTTCTGCTGCAGGTCGCTCTCCAATGCGGCAGTCCACGGACGCTAAAGCAGCCGGAATTGGGACGCCTGGAACGCCGTGACGACAGCGACACTCGGGTTCGCTCGTGCTTTAGCCAGCATTTCTACGGCCAACCGCCAGGATCGCGACAGGCAACAGCATGACACTCCGGCTTCTGTGACGTGTTTTGTTGACAGTTGGGGACCACTTTTGATGTATGGGCGGGATAGGACGCTAAACACACCAGTCGGAGACGCGCTCCAGGCACCATGGTTGGAACTAACGCGTTACAAGTAACGACGGTACTGCTAACGCGTTAGTTTTTTTACTACGTACTCGTTAGAATCCCAAATGAGTAACGAGTAAAGTAATGTCATTATTATTTTACGGTATCTGCTATGAAATTACGTTACCCGTTACTCGTTACTTTTGTATAAAAATGGCCGCATGACAGTTTAAAAGCAAAATAATTTTTATTCTGCGCACTACAAAAGGTGGCAAAGAAACCCCCAAAAAGCTATGTATAAACGGCGTCATTTCAAGCTCTCTCGGAAGACACTTTCAACATTCCCACGACCGGGCCCAGAAGACGCGAGATTATCGCTTTGCGGAATTCCTAAGCGTCCTTGCTGCAGTCGTTGTATCGAAGCTACTAATGTCACATTCGTGTGGGGCGAGCACTGCACCGAGAAAATGCTGCCCCCAAAGCCACGCCACTGTGTAGGCGCACCACACGACCCACTACCAAGCAAACGCGAAGCATCCCGCCGTGCGACGCGCTGGGTGTGGTCACTGCAAGGGCAAAACATGAATGGGTGGACGGTAAAAAATATCCGCAAGAGTGGGGCGGCGGCTCGCGCCATCTAGCGAGGAATGAAAGTAACAAATTGTCGTCCGAGTAGACGGTTCAAGTATGTATTGTTAGAAAGAAAATTCGCCCGCCAACTTAAAAACAAAAACACATGGACTATGAAACAGAGCGTTCACAGATATGCGGTTTTATTGTCGTACTGCTGACAAGCAATAGGAACACGTCCGGTGTGAAAATCAACAGAGGCGAGGGTACACAGCGGTTAAACGAAAAACAAGAAATTTAGTTAGGCGATAAAAAGCCGCGCACGGCGACAACACGACAAAACCATCAAAACCGACAAAACCATCAGAACACTTTCACGAACCTTCGAGCAGCGGGGCCGCGAAAAAAAACAAGACAACACTCAATCCCCGACACAACGCGAAACAACTCGCCGCTCGCGATACAAATTGCAGCCGGGAAACAAGTTCGCCGGTGCAAAGAAGACGAAAGTTCCGAAAAAGGAAGGTCCCCACTTCTGCAACCGCCTCTTCACCTTTGTCCGTGAAGGCGCCCGACGTTCGTCGATCGGGTTAGTTTCCGTTCGACGGGCTGCGGTTCCAATCTGCCGGCACCTTGAAGCAACTCCCTTAGGACTGATATAATAGTTTATTAGATATTTACAGCAAGAAGCATGTTGAGTCCCGCGCGGGGTCTGTCCCCCCGACAAAAGAGTCCCTGCTTTTATAACGTTCAGCCAAGGGGGAGAACGAGACGTCAGTCACGTAGGCCGCGTAGCCCGCATGCAGCTAGAGTATCCGGTGTCGCCGGAACGTGCTACACCGCCGTTCGGATGAGGCGCTCGCGGACCGGAGCTTGGCCGTCCCGACCGTAGTCCAAGGCCGAGGAAAGGACGGGGTGTGTCGTCGACCGCATCCCGTACGGTAGGCCAAGAGCGCAACGTGATGCCGCGCACGTAGCACCTCCGAAGACTACACCCGCGTTCCCCGGCGTGTGTGCGATTGAGGTCATCGCCGTCAGTCCTTGAGGTTTGCGCCGTTGCTCGGTGTTGCGTCGATCCCAGGTGTTCCGCCGCCGGGTGCTGCATCTTGAGCAGGCGGCTTCAGCACAGCGTGATGGCCTTGTCTCCTCCAACCACGCGCTCCATCTGTGTCAGGAGCTTTGTACATGCGCAGTTGAGCCCGACACCTCCCTTCTGACTGTGATGCACACCACATTGGGATGCATCACATCACCAAGAGGAGCTCAACGTCTTTGCGTCCGGGTGTAGACTGTACCCCCGCTCCCGCGAACACAAGTCATGATAGAGCCTTGAGTACTGCGAATTGCCCGCTCCGCCTGTGCCCTCGGGCCCCTACTGCGTTTCTTCATTGGCACCCACCAGCCTCGACAGTGCATCGGCGTTCGCGTTTTCGACTCCCCTTTTGTGCTCAATGGTCAGATTGAATCTCTGTAGCGCTAGAGCCCATCGAGTCAGCTTCGCGCTGTGCGGACTGCTCAGAGCCAGATACTTTAGTGGATTGTGGTCAGTCACCACGCGGACCTGTGCGCCAAAAAGCCAGACCTCCAATGTATCCAATGCCCAGATGATTGCGTAGGCCTCCTTTTCTATTGTGGCCCAGCGAGCCTGGGTCGGACCGAGCTTCTTACTTAAAAATGCAACCGGACACCCCTTGCCCTGGTCATTGAGCTGCGCAACACACGCTCCGACTGCATAATTGGAGGCATCGATGGCAAGGATGTACTCGCGATTGGGGTCAGGTGCGTAAAGCGATGCCGCGCGCTAGAGGCAGTCCTTTATGTTTTCAAATGCGCTCTGCGCCTCGGTATCCCAAGGCAGCTGTTGTGGTGTTCGCCTGTTGGTCAGATTAGTGAGAGGTAGCACTATGCGGGCGTACTCCGGAACGTACTGCCGGTAGTAATTGGCTAACCCCAAGAAACTCCTGAGCTCCCTTTTTGTCTGCGGTGCAGGTATTTCCTCAATCGCCTTGACCTTCGCTGGGTCTACATTGAGTTTTCCGGAGCCTACAACATGCCCCAGAAACTCAACCTCTGGTTTCGCGAAACGACACTTGGCTGCATTTACTCTAAAGGCTGAGGCCGCGACTGCAGTGAGCACCTTCTCAAGGTGCTGGAGGTGCTCCTCCCATGTCTTGGAGAATACCGCGAGATCGTCAATATACGCGCAAGCGTATTCCCTGTGGGCTGCCAGCATGCCATTGATAATTCTCTGGAACGTGGCGCTCGCATTCTTCAGTCCAAATGGCATTACCCTCCAGGCGTACTGCCCAACCGGTGTCACGAATGCCGTGAGAGCTTGTGCTTGCTCATCCAATGGTATTTGCCAATATCCCCTTAACATATCAATCAAGGTTATATACTTCGCCTTTGCCACCTGCAGCAGCAACTCGGAGGGTAGACTCATCGGGAATGCGTCTGGTTCGGTGATGCTGTTGAGCTTACGATAATCGCAGCACAGCCTCAACCCCCCATCCTTTTTGCTTACGCATACGATTGGATACGCGTGCGGGCTCTCAACAGGGTATATCAGGTCCCACGCCAACAGCTCATGTACTTGCCGTTTGACTTCCTTTCGGAAAGACATTGGTACCTTATACGGATGAACGGGCTGTCGCGCCGCTCCCTCCTTGATCTTTATTTTGTGCATGCCAACTGTGCACCTTCCTGGCCTGTCCCTGAAGACCTGGCCGTGCCTAGTGACCAGCGCGACAACCTCAGCACACTGTGACGGCTTCAAGGGACTCAACGCAGCGAGTGGTATTCGATGGTTTCGTTCACCCTGCGGTGGAAATGTTTGGATGTCCCCAAAATCACTGTCACCCTCGAAAATCAAACCCACGGCGCCAACCCGGGCGTGGTACGCGCGAAGCTTGTTTGCGTGTACTGATCGAGATGTTCCATCCTCCGTTTCAATCAAGTAACTGTGCGGCCGTAACTTGCGCACTACCTTAGCAGGTCCTTTCCATTTGGCCACTAATTTGCCCTCGCCCTCTCTCTCGAGCCATAAAACCTGCTGCCCCTCTCTAAACTGTTTGTCTGTCACCCGCAGATTATACCTGCTAGCGTACCTACATTGCTCCACCGTAGTACTGTCTTCGGCCCTTGCGTTAGCCTCAATTAACCTTTCGCGCAAGCGCGATAGGTATTCCTCTGCGGACACGCCCAGAGTGTCCGGGAAAGCCCAATCGCCAGACCATGTCTTTTGAAGAATCGAGAGTGGCCCCACTAATACCCTCCCGTACATCAGCTCAAATGGCAATTTACCCGTCGTTACGTTCGGGACCTCTCTGTAAGCCCAAAGCAGGAACGGTACAAACTTGTCCCACTCCCGTCCATGCTCCCTCACAATGTGAAAAAGCATCGACTTGAATGTTCCATTCCAACGTTCGACGAGTCCGTTACTTTGTGGGTGGTCCGGCGTGGAGAATCTCGGGCACGCCCCTAGCTTCGACAGCAGCTGCTGGGTCACCTTTGCAGTGAAATTTGTCCCCTGATCACTACACACCACCTCGGGGACTCCCAGACGCGCGAAGATTTCCAATAACGCATCACACGTGGCCTTTGCTGTCAGTGTCCTGAGGCACACTACTTCTGGCCATCTTGTGTTAACGTCTACTACGCACAATGCGTATCTGTGACCACGCGCCGATGGCGGGTCAATCGGACCGATGCAGTCCATGTTAACCACCTGAAAAGCGGTTTCCGGTCTGGCCAGTGGCGTGATTGGTACGCGGTCCAGCGTACGAGCTGGGGACCTCACCTGACACGAAGGACACGAACGGCAGTATTCTCTTACGTCCCGCGTTATACTTGGCCAGAAAAAGGAGCCCTTTATACGTTGCAGCGTTTTCCGCTCACCGAGGTGCCCCGCCCACGTAGAATCGTGTGCCATCTTCAGCACCTTTGAGCGGCGATCTGACGGTACCACGAGCTGACAGCACTGATGTCCTGCGATCGGTTCCTGATGGAACAGCAACTCGTCGGGTATTGTCATGCCATGCGTCCCCTCTCTAGCCTGTGCCCATGCCTCACGCAACGACTCATCTGCCAATTGCGCCTCGCGAAACTGTTACCGCGTCGTTCGCGTCTGCGCGCTACCGCCCTCCAAGCTCTCAGCCTCCACCGCGCAAGACAGCGTATTTTCAGTGCGTTCTAGTTCGTCTAAGCTTTCTTCCTCTTCCACTTCTTCACCACGCATTTATATGTCCTCCTGAACTTCGCATCTCACTCTCTACTTGAGCAGCTGGTCGTAGTCCTCGAGAGTGATCAAAACATCCACTCCCGTGACTAGCCTGTCGGTAAGCGCACACAAGACTCCTCGTTCTGACGGATTGAATGACACGAGCGGTACGCCCTCTGTCGACGTTAACGGAACGTAGGCCAGCTCTGCAATGACCTGTTCTCCAAACGCACCAGTCAACTTTATGGTCGACCCTGCACTCTCATATTTCTGACAAGCTGCCTTTCTAACAACTGTTATGTCCGCCCCTGAATCAACCCTTGCGCGTAATGTCCGACCTGCGTTAGTCAGTGTTACTCCTCTCGTACCGACGACCTTGCTCACTTTAGGTAGCCCTATTCGAGCTTGGGGAGCTTCCTCCTCATACTGCGGGAAGGATACCCGAGCAACGACAGACCTGTCTCTGCCCTTGACGAGGCGCACTTCCGTGGTTTCCCTCGCTAGGCACTGCTTAGCTATGTGCCCCGTTGCGTGGGACTTGAAGCACTGTATCCTTATGCGTGCGTCCCAGTTGCCTTTCTTTGCTTGCGACGACGCCACAGCCTCGCCTGCCGTCAAATTCGCAACCGGCGCACCCGTGCTAGACACCACAGCAGGCCTGTTCTTACGGCTTTCGTCGTAACTCTCTGCTAGCTTCACTACCTCGCTAGGCCTGAGGAAACCTGGTTTTTCATTCAAAATAACATGCGCCCGCGCTTCCGCAGTTAAACACTCCCTCAAACGGTCTGCTACTGTCAGCTGTTTAAATTCTCGCAGCGAGCTCACCTTGCAACTTTCCAGATAGTAATCAACGTAATTTTCTAACCTCACTGAGAATTGCTCTCAAGTTTCCTTCGCTCCCATAGTCGACCCAGAAAACAAACGCTTGTATTCAGCCGCGGAAAGCCGCAAACCATCCAAAATTTTGCTTTTCAGAGCAGCGTAATCTCTTCTCTCTTCCGAAGAGAGCCACGTGAGAAGACCCCGTGCCCGCTCACTAAGCCGCGGCAAGACCAGTCCGGCCCACCACTCGCGTGGCACCTCGTACGACTCAAGGGTGGCTTCTACATCTTCGAACCAGCTAGGCACGAGTGCCTCCTGGCTCGGCATTGGCGCAAGAACACCTTTTAATAGACCTGCAAATTTCAGCCGTCTATCCTCGTCCACTTTTGCGCCCACCGCGAAGCTGCTGTCAACCTCGTCAGGCTCTGCACTCCTTTGTGATTGCAGCCGCTGAACTTCCAGCTCCATTCGCTGCCTCTCTCGTTCTGCTTCAGCAATTTTTAACTGTAACTGCAGCAGCATAATCTGCTGCTCCGACGCCGCCTCTGATGTGGTATTTGCTCCTCCCGTCTGATCTGTAAGTGACAACTCATCTCCCGCCCCATCCGCCATTTCCCGGTTTCCTTAGCGATATCACTCCTCAAAACCCAAGGCTTTGGCATAACATGCGCCCAACAGGAACCAAGGGGGTACTCGCCTAGCTACCGAAGCGCTGCGCTGCGTGGCCCTCGGTGCCCCGGCTGGTCGGATTAGCTTGGAGTGTCCGATGGCTCTCCACGTTTCAGCTTGAGGTCGCCGCCTTCACCAGTCCCGGTCGTCCCTCGTCACAGCGGAGTTCTTCAGCTCAGCCTAAGCAGATCCTGTCGACTGCGCCACTTCTGCAACCGCCTCTTCACCTTTGTCCGTGAAGGCGCCCGACGTTCGTCGATCGGGTTAGTTTCCCTTTGACGGGCTGCGGTTCGAATCTGCCGGCACCTTGAAGCAACTCGCTTAGGACTGATATAATAGTTTATTACATATTTACAGCAAGAAGCATGTTGAGTCCCGCTCGGGTTCTGTCCCCCCGTCAAAAGAGTCCCCTGCTTTAATAACGTTCAGCCAAGGGCGAGAACGAGACGTCAGTCACGTAGGCCGCGTAGCCCGCATGCAGCTAGAGTATCCGGTGTCGCCGGAACGTGCCACACCGCCGTTCGGATGAGGCGCTCGCGGACCGGAGCTTGGCTGTCCCGACCGTAGTCCAAGGCCGAGGAAACGACGGGGTGTGTCGTCGACCGCATCCCGTACGGTAGGCCAAGGGCGCTACGTGATGCCGCGCACGTAGCACCTCCGAAGACTACACCCGCGTTCCCCGGCGTGTGTGCGGTTGAGGTCATCGCCGTCAGTCCTTGAGGTTTGCGCCGTTGCTCGGTGTTGCGTCGATCCCAGGTGTTCCGCCGCCGGGTGCTGCATCTTGAGCAGGCGGCTTCAGCACAGCGTGATGGCCTTGTCTCCTCCAACCACGCGCTCCATCTGTGTCAGGAGCTTTGTACATGCGCAGTTGAGCCCGACATCCCCACTGCGGGACCCAAAGTCCAGGGAAAAGTTCAAACGAAGCCCGAAGACTCACCGACATCTTCAATCCGACGAACGACAAAGGCTTCACGTGCCTGGCGTAGTGGACTGTTTGCTCGGCGGCCGACGCAACGGAGCACCGCACGCGCACACACGCACTTCCCGAAAAGGGAAAAACCGACGCCCGTCGTCACGGCTGGAATCGTAGCCAGAGCAGAGGGCTTGAGGGAAAGAAGATAGCAGCGCCGACATCACGTTCTCTTGAGCTGCGGGCCGCCATGTTTCGCGAGACGAGGAAGACCGACGACGTGGCGAGAGAGAGAGAGGATGTGCCGAAGGAAGCGGAGAGCGTTAACTCAAGGTCGCAGTGCGAGGACCTGCATGGTCTCCTTCCGACGGTGCAGCTGGTGCAGCAACGCACCAGTGCCGCGCGCCGCATGAAGTCCCTGGCAAACGTAGTGCAGCCGCACCGACACGACCAGGCGAACGTGACGCGTCCGTCGGTGCAGCGCGGTGCGGTACGGCGCGGCCCGTGCGAATGTGACATTAGACCACCGTCGCCGCGCCCTGAAGAAGCAACCGTCTCGCTGGAAAGAGACATCCGCTGAGAAGGCAGCAGTCTGCCGCTGCTCGAAGGATTCTGCCTAATCGTCCCTAGCTACCCCAGCTGGTCAAATCCTTTTCTTCAAAATAAATAAGTTCTCGTTCTGTCAACAACAGAAAGGATAAACTCTAAGTTTGGAAGCGTTGACGTACCCACGCTTTGAACCAAAACAAGTGACAAGGTTATTCAAGGATTGAAAGGCGTCTGTCACCAAAAGGACGCCATCATGTTTTAGAATCCCTGCCACCGTGGTACAAAGGTACGGTCTCTCGCTGTTCAGAAGGTCGCCCCCCACTCCCGTTCAGAAGGTCGCCTCCCACTAAATCCTCTGGGCATCCTTTCTCCCATAGCGCCTCAAGAATTAGACGAAAGACTGCGTAACCACCACGGACGGCTCCTTCTTTGTATCGCAGTTAGCCCCCAACTCCCTGGCATTCAAAGACCGAATTATCTTCTGCTGGACGCTGCATTCGCATTGTCCTTCTCGCAGTTCTGGTTGTGTGTGGAGGCCACTGTATCATTCTTCTAACGAAAAAAAATCGTAGCACTAATACTGATGGTTTTGTTTGCTTCGCGCTTGCTTTGCTGCTGCCGGCATAAAAAAAAAGCTTTTTGCACGTGAAAAAAAAAAGGTTTTTGGACGTGAAAGATTGGACGTCTGCCCAGTCATAACAGAGGGGAGAGCTGTCAGCGTCGCAGGTAGAGATCTGCACTGGTACGGGGCAGACCGCGGGCCAAGGGCCGGCCCGGCCCTCGGGTCGGGCTCGGGCTTCACGGCTACATTCATGAAGTGCCCGGGCCTGGTACGGGCCTTGCATTCAAGTCTGCAAGTGGTGCCAAAGCGGGCGGAAGCGACCATTACTTTTTTTTTTTTCTTTAGCGGCGTGTTCTTCGGAAGCGTACGTGTTCGGGGGTTGGGAGAGGAACCACAGTGGGGGGGATAAACAGATGCTGAAGCATTTGTGTGTGGGTGTATGTTTTTGTGTTTCGGTGTGCAGCGAATGCTTTTCCAGAGTATACCTCGCGGCGCGGCGTTCCTTTTCGTGCCCGGCGGCGCGCCGGGAACGCTTCGCACCACAAACACGCACATACACGCGCCTACACAATGTGTACCCTCGCCGGCGTAAACCATCTTTACGCACGAGTGCTTGCATCCCCAATAGATGTAAAGAGGTTCCTCTGAGGGGTACTTTTGCTGAACAATTTCTCGCAGACCACCGCATAAGACGACCAGATTGCAGTTTTTTTTTTCTTTTTTTTACGGTTGTGCGCAGCGAGAGTGGCTAATTTAGAACTTTTCCAGTCTTTTGTCCAAACCCGTCGCGATGATTCCCTTCCTTTCCAACTGTGACACGTGGTTTTCTTTACGTCTGCTTGTCATTTTTGTTTTTCCATCCTTGCCGCGCGTGTTTTGTCGCAGAAAAGGAAGCTCGGGTGATTTGTCTTAACAAGCTGCCTAGGCCTGCAGATTGGTCAAACTAATATTAGCAGCGAAAAAAAAATGATTGCAGTATTTCCTATT